GCTCAGCGGGGAGCCTGCTTCTCCCTCTGACCCTCCCCCCTCTCATGTGCTCTCTCTCATTCTCGCTCTCTCAAATGAATAAATAAATCTTTAAAAAAATAAAATAAATTACAGAATCCTAGGTCAAATGGACTGCAGCAACAAGGGAATTTTTCAGCTCATGCCATCAGAAAGTCCAGTGGAAGATAAAGCTTTAGGCGTAAGTGGAACCAGGCACTCAGTGGTATTCTTGCAAACCTATATATTCTCATTTCTCAACTCTGCCATCCCTTGGCTTTATTTTGCACAGTTTCCTTCCTGGTGTTAGTATCAACAATGCATAGGACAATAGCTGGTATATAGTTCACCTGGCTCTAGAAGCTCCAGGCTCACTTCCAACCAGCTTTGCAAACCCCATGGAAAACCTGCCTCCTCCCCAGTGTTCCAGCAAAATCTCCAAAATGGACTCTGAGGCACCCCGCGAAGGTCACCCATCCACCCCTGAGCCAGTTACAGGGCCTGAGGAGCCCACTGTTCTTTCATGGACAGGCCGAGGTCACAGGGCCACCACTCCCAGATTGTCAAGACTTGAGGAGGGGAAGGAGGGGATCCCCTCAAGGAAAAACAGGAGACAGGCCATCATCGTGAGAGGCAGTCTGGGAATTGGGTGGAAGGAACTGCGGAGGAGAACAGCGACTGCCTGCGGGACAGGCCAGATAGCTGGACCTGGGCCCTCCCTTCCCCAGAGAACTGGAGCCTGGTTATCTGGGAGGATGGGTGGGTCCTGAAGTCACCAAAAGAGGCTGTCAGCCAACTAGACTTCTTGCAGGTCAACAGCAGGTTCTTGCATGAAGGGGAATCCAAGCGGCGTACCTCTTCAGCGGGGGGAGGGGGGAGTAAAAAAATTCAAAAACGGGGTCCAGGCAAGAAACAGAGACCCTCTCATGAGGGACCACTGCTCCAGCGAAAAGGAAGGTGCTGGGATCTTCCAGAGCCCTGGGCAGGACGTGCGGCAGCCCATGGGCATGGACTTGGAAAGCCGGCACCATGGACTCTCCTTCTGTCAGGGGCTGCCCCATCCCTGGGACATTCCGGGCCCCTGTTCTCTCCCCCACAATCCCCCAGCCCTGAGGCTGCCCTGGGCCTTCTCAGCCCTGTGCCCACCTGGGGCCACCATGGTCACTGACCTCTTCACTCACCTTCCTAAGAGAGAACCTCTTGCTAACTTTGCCAAGCCTCAGCTTCCTCATCTGTAAAGCAGAGGTGGAAACTGTGAAGAGTAAATGAGGTGGGGCATTTTGCACAGTGATGACGTGAGGTCAGCGCCCAATAAGAACATTTGCCCAGCTTTTGGTGGGGATTCCATGAGCTCGGCTGACGGGCCTGGTGCACAGCCAGGGTGCAGGAGATGCAGGCTCTCTCTGTGCTCAGCCTGTAGGGGCCAGAGAGAAATGGAAGGAAGCAGCCTCAACTCCCAAATTCCCCAAAGCTACAGCTTCTCCTTCCTTGCACTCAAAATGGCTTTCAGTTCCAGCTTTAATTCCTGTTGAGTAGGAGGTAAGAAGGGGAAGTCGAAAAAGAGAAGAGAAATCAAGTTTTCTGCTCGCCCCCCCCACCGCCCCGTGCCCGTCTCCTACCAGATTTGCCTGCTTTCACAGCTGGCCTGATACCATGGAGGGGGGGAACCCCAAATTTCTCCAGGAGTCGTGGGTGTGGCCCCCTGCCCACTGTCCTCTCAGCGCCCAGGGGCATTGGCGTCCGGAACCTGGCCTCGGGCTGGCTTGAGGTGGGTTCCAGGGGCACTCCTGCCCCAGGCTGGCTGCTTCTGGGTCGGGACTGGGTTGGTGACTGTAACAGAGGGCATAATAACCCTAGAAGCAGGCGCCATGACCTGTTTATCATGTGGAGACCCAGGTTCAGAGAGAGTAGGTGGCTTACCCCGGTCACTCAGTAAGTTGGTGATGGATCCCAGTCTGTCTGACTCGCCAGGGGAAGGAAGCTGAGTCTTGATCCCTGTCATCCTGTGCCCTTGATGCTAAGCTCACAAGCCAGAGGCCAAGCAAGGGGGTTTCCAGGCCGTATTTCCCAGCAGGCAGGCCGGCCAAGTTTAGGAGGCCTCTTCCCACATCCAGCCTGGTCTGGGCTGGTTCCTGGCTGGCTGGCAGACAGTGACTCAGGCTTCCAGCTCCTGCCTCTGGCCTCCTCATCCCTTCCAGATAGGAGGGCCTGGGAGCAGGGATGGGGAAGGAGCTATGGAGTCATCTAAAGGGGATCCTGAGGCCATAGGATCCAAGCAGCCCAAGGAGCTTCAACCCTTGCCAGTTTTTCCTTACGTCTATCCTGAAATGCATCTGCTGTGGGCACAAACCAATCCCACGTGTTGCCTGAACTGTAAAAAGGAAACTGGCAGAGGTTGTCCCTTCTATGGAGTGAGGGACTTCTGTGTTTCTGCCACGGGTGTACCCGGAACGGAGATGGGTGGTGGATGCCTGGTGCTGGGGCAACACTCCCGGGGCCTCTACCTCAGATGGACAGGGCTCACCACTGGCCCTGTCCCCCTGCCAATGTCCCCAGTGGCTCCTGTGAGCCACATGGACCAGGTGAGGCTCTGAGAACAGGGCTTGAGCTGATATGGGAATAAATAGCAGAAAGGCTGGGGAGTGGGTCAGGAGGAACTAAGGCTGGGAGCCCAGGGCTGAGGTTGCTCAGTGCCAGCCCCAGAGGGGAGGCCTTGGCGATACGCAGACCTGCCGCACAGCCCCCACCCCAGGGCAGCCAGCAAAAGGCTTGAGACTGGCCATCCCAGGCAGTCTGCTGGCACCATCTCATGGCCAGAGGCCCTCAGTGCAGGAAAGACAATCCTCTGGGAATTTCCCGCCTTGAACTTCTAAGCATGGATTTCAGGGAAACCATGGATAAGGAATTTGTATTGAAATGTGCCCTGGCTGGGACACCTTGGGAAACTCGCTGACCTTTCCTGAGTCTTACTTTCTTCATCTGTAGAATGGAGAGAACACTCTCGTCCCCCACCTGCCCGGAACTGCAGAGAAAACCCCCGGCAGAGGGGAGGCTGTTAAGAAATGACACTGGGTGCAGGGGACCCAGAAATTAGCGTGGACTGCCGTGGGCGGAGGGAGTCCAAAGTGGGGGCATTCAGGCTGGGCCTGGAATGGATTCATTCAGTTAACAAGAGTGTATTGCGTCCATACCATATGCCAGGACGCCTCCCCTACACGGTCTCATTTATGTCCTACAACCTCCTAGATGGCAGGTACCACTAGTCATTCTCATTTGAGAATGAGACGTGAGAACTACAGGAAGGATAAGCAGGAATTATTCGGAGAAAGTGGGGGGAAAGCATCCCAGGCAGAGGAAACAGCACACACAGTGGCCTGGGGCCCAGAAAGGCTGGTGGGGAAGGGCTGAAGCTGGACTCCGGAGCCCTGGCAGGCCTGGGAGCAGGGCCAGCCCCCTCAAGCCGTGTTCTGAAGGTTTTCAACGGGCCAACCCCCTCAGGCCTCCCACCAGGCCCCTTTTCACACGACACATCCCACGCTACACTGTTCTTCATTTCTCACATAGGGGTCAGCTCCTTCCCCACCCGTGTACTTCTTGCCTAAGATGCCCTCTTCTCTCTTCATTCACCCAAGCCCCCCTGGCCCTTTAAGGCCCAGCAACAGACATGTCTTCTCCAGGAGCCATTCCGGGTCACTTGTCCTAGGTGTACCCATAACCCCCAAGATCTGAGCTCTCTCATCTGGGCCCCACCCAGATAGCAAGAACTCAGACTCAAGCCCTGGCCTGAGGCTGACACCTCCAGGAAGCCCTCAGAGCTGCTACCATTCTTGGGACAGACACCGTGATAGGGGTGACCACTGGAGGTTGTCCTGGGAACCCAGCAAAGGACTGGTTGCTGGGCTGACAGCCGGGTCTCCTTGCCCTCCGGGGCTCCAGCAGCACTAAAATCAGAACAGGAGGCCACACGTGCAACAGGCACAAGCAAGCCCTTAGCACAGACCTGAATAAACGGTAGGTACTCAATCCTTGCACAACTGACCAAGTGTTTCCCAGCAGTTAAAACCTGAATTTTCTCAGTTGGACCCAAAGTTTTGGCCCCAACTCAGTTCCCCAATCTCCTTGCCTGTAAAATGGGTTTGGGTGGGAGCTCAGTGCTTACACCTTCCAGGGTAAAAAGGGTCCTGCCTCACTCTGGCAGGTCATCCTCACAACATGCTGGTGGCCAGTATGACCACCTTCTACTAAGGGGGCTCAGAGAGGGGAAGGGGCTTGTGAGTAGGGGCCACACCGTGAGTCAGGGCCAAAGTAGAACAAGAACCTGGACCTCAAATGCCCAGGGCAGTGTTCTTTCCCTGTGCGACCCTGTCCCCCGCCTCCCCTACTTACCTTAGCTGCTCCCAATCAAAGCCTACCTCCTCCAGGTCACCCCCCTCAAATGCTGCCTCTACTACAGGAGCTCGCCTCCTCGGGAAAAGGAGAAGCCACCTCACTTCCTCTGGCCATCCTAACAGCTGTGAGTCTTGGTTTGGGAGTGAGGAGGGGTGGGAAAAGGGCTTGGCACCGGCAGGGAGACTCTCACTCAGGTGAGTTTTCAGGGGCATCACCTCTATCCCCACAACCCATACCCATCACTCCCAGTAGCTCCAGACCTGCCATGTGGAAGGAGACAGTGAGTGCTAAATGGAGGTATGTGGGAGGATCTGAGGACATAGAGTAGGTGTTCAGTAAATGGTTTTGGAGAAAAGGAAGAGAGGGAAGGTGGGAAGGAGAAGGTGACCAAGTAACTGAGTGCTTAAGTGGATTGCCAGGCGGAGGGATGGACATGTCAGTGAATGAGCTAGTGAACGAATGGAGAAAGGGATGGTTGGGGGAGTGAGTGACTGGAAGGTCGCTCTGGGTGTTACAGCTAAAGGGGGAGCCGAAAGCTCTTTAATCACCAACGTGCCCATTTGACAGATGAGAAGACTGAAAGAGGGCTGAGGAGAAAAGAAGCTGCTGGGTCTGTGGGAATGGCTTTTGACCAGCAGCCTCTGGTTCTCCCCCCCACCTCTCTACCCCCCTCATCACCGTCTTTCCTCTGCTGGGGTGGGGAGGGTTCCAGGAAGGAGACATTTTCTCCGCCTCTTTGCTCCTCTAGGCCCCAGTTTCCGCCAGGCCTTGGTGTTGGGGATGGTAGGGAGGGGGTGGCCCCCGCAGGGGCTATTTCAGTCAGAGACAGCCCTGCCAGGAAACAGAGGAAGCCACCCGCCCCATCGGAGGTGTTGCAGCCTGGGCTGCGGGCAGGAGAGTGGAGAGCCTCACGTCTGGCCTTCCCTTGCGCTAACGCACTTGAGGCCACCAAGGTGCTTCGGGGACAGGAGGCTGCCTGTGAGTATTGGTGCGTCTTGGCACTGTGGGCCAGTATGAGGTGGGCATGGGTGCTGGACACAAGGAACTGTGACTTTGGGCAGGACCTAAAGGAGGTCGCAGTGTTGGGGGGTGGGGGCAGATAAAGGGACTCCACCCAGCTGGAGGACCAGAGAGGAAGAAGCAAGATTGGATCTGGAGCTGGATGGACACTTAGTGTTTTGACAGACAGACAGGGGATGAATGGCACTTCGTGTGGAGGGAACTGCAAAGATGGGGAGGCCGGAGAGGAAGTCTAGATCTCTGGCTTTGAATGGTCGTGTGGCAGCGTTGGTGTCTCAGGAATGGTGTGGCAGGACAGGAGGGGGCGGAGGGGCGCAACCAGGGGTGCCTTGGATGAGGCTGGAGGGCTCGGCAGGGAGCTTGAACGTCAGGAGCTGGAGCTTCTCCTCAAAGGGCCGAAGGATGCAGGGAAGGATGTCGTCAGAGCCACTTGCTAGAAAGCCCCCCACCATAGTCAGAGTGGCCGGAGCCCAGGAAGACATTGGGGCCTGAGCTGGCCCAGGGCTCAGGGCCCAAGAAAGAGTGACAGCCGCGAGAGCTCGAGGAGCCAGTGCCAGCCACGGAGGCAGGGACCAAGGGAGCCCTCCCTCAGGACCAGCCCCTGCCCCGCCTTGGGCCTCAGAAGGCAGAGTGTATTAGGGAGCCAGGGGGACAGCCAGGCCTGCCTTTCTCCTCGCGTAGCCTCTGCCTCCTTCCAAGAGGACTAGTCTTACCAGGGAGTGGAGAGCAGAAAATATCTGGAGCCTCCAATCACCTGAGGCAGACAGCTCTCTCTTGGGGTGGTATCTGAGGACAACGGGCCTCCCAAAAGAGTTCGGAAAAACAGCACTGTTCCTTCTACCCGCTTCTTCCTCCTCACCATGACCATCTGCCCTAGCAGGCTGCTCTCCTCTCAAGCCCTGCCTGTTCTACCTTCCTCCCCACCCGAGGACACCCCTCTCCACCCAGGGATTTCTTTCTCAACCCCCACACCCTCCCTGGGTCATGCTCCATCCTTCATCCTCCTCTGAAAAGTCTTTTCTATCCTGTGGCTCACACTGGTCTCCCTCTTCAGACTAGCATATGTATATGTATAATTTTTATATCTCTATCTACACCTGCATCTATATACTGTGCCTGCATGCATCCAGCAGGCAGTAAGTATGCATTTAAATGCCTGGCAGGTGAAAACAGCAGAATGGGGGTGCCTGGGTGGCTCAGTTGTTAGGGGTCTGCCTTCGGCTCAGGTCATGATCCTAGGGTCCTGGGATGGAGCCCTGCGTCGGGCTCCCCGCTCAGCGGGAAGCCTGCTTCTCCCTCTCCCACTTCCCCTGCTTTTGTTCCCTCTCTCCCTGTGTCTCTCTCTGTCAAAAAGTGAATAAAATCTCAAAAAAAAAAAAGAAAAGAAAAGAAAGGAAAACAAGAGAATGAATGCATACATAAAAGAAAGGTCCAGACAAATAAATGAAGAGATGAGTAAATGAACTTTCTCTGCCTGTACTAATCTTGACTTCCTGGCTACAATGAGGGCCTGCCCAAAGCTTCTGCCTCTGACTTCCCTCCATGCCTAACTGACTAGCTGAGCACCCAGCACTCCTAGCACATGGGCTGAAGCCCCACAAAGGGTTTTTCATAATTAAAGGTAATATGGCATGTGGGATACAGACTAGAGATCCAAACCTCATTTTGCAGGTGCCCAGAATCTGGGAAAAATATTTTCACCAGAATCAAATTTAAAATTGGAAGAAATTAATTTGGGTAGTTATGTTTTGCTCTAACATAACTTTGAAAAATCTCATACCTTGACTTAGCAGGGTATATTCACATTAAGAACAGCTAACACTTGCCCTGTGCCAGGCACTGATCTTCATAACAACCCTATGAAGCAGGTACGATGTGATCCCATTTTATAGATGGGGAAACCAAGGCACAGAAGTCTAATAATGAGCCTAAGGCCCCACAGTTCACATGTAGCAGAGCTGGGATTTGAACCTGGGCATCTGAACCAGAGCCCATATACTTGGCCTCAACCCTCTATCCTGTTCTGTGTGCATTTGAAGGACTTCATGTTTTTTTCTTCACTTCAGTTTTTCCCATCTATTAACAGGGAGGGGGGTGATCAGACTCACTATCTCAAAGGCTTGGTCTTACAGGTCCATTGGATTTAAGTTGTGAATTCTCTCTGGACACCAGTAAATGTGGACATGCCAGTTGGGAAGTAGGTATCAAGAAGTCAGACTTAACTTCACCAGGGAACCCCCTAAGACACTTGTGCTCCTGACTCCCCCAAAACCTGAGGGAAGAGTGGAGGGATGAAATGTAGGATACAACAGCATAGCATGGCATTTATTAGGCACCTACTGTATACCAGGCTTATGACACGTTTTACCGATAAGAACACAGACCCAGAAAAGGCGAGTGACATGCCTTGGGTTGAACAACACAGAAGCAGGGGTGCCAGGATTTGAATGAGGCTTGCCTCGCTCTGAAGTTGGGCTTTAACCTCTACATTCCATGTCCATGGGCTACACTAAGTTGCATCCTCTCAGTCAGGTGATTGGGTTCTGGTCCTGGCTCTGTTTCTAACTCACTGAGTAAGACTGAGCCACCACAGACTCTCGCTGTGCTGTATTTTCCTCTCTATAAAAAGCAAGCAATATGGGCATCTGGGTGGCTCAGTTGGTTAAGCGACTGCCTTCAGCTCAGGCCATGATCCTGGAGTCCCAGGATCGAGTCCCGCATCGGGCTCCCTGCTCAGCAGGGAGTCTGCTTCTCCCTCTGACCCTCCCCCTCTCATGCTCTCTCTCTGTCTCATTCTTTCTCTCTCAAATAAATAAATAAAATCTTTAAACAAAACAAAACAAAAGCAAGCAGTAGGGGCACGTGGCTACCTCAGTCCGTGGAGTGCATGACTCTTGGTCTTGGGGGGGGGCGGCTGTGAGTTCGGACCCCACCTGGGGTGTAGAGATTACTTAAAAATAAAATCTTAAAAAAAAAAAAAAGCCGTAGATTTGGCTGGTCCTCAGCCATTTGCCTTCAGGAACGCTGTTCTCACTCTAGCCACCAGGGGGTGCTGTGGCCCAGCAGCTAGGCCAGACAGGCATTTGTAGCCTCAAGTCAAGCAGAAGGATGCTTAGGGAACTCCTGAATCACTTTCTCCCCCCATTTTACAGATAAGAAGATTGCAGCCAAAAGAAGGACCATGGTTTTGGAAGGTGGAGTCCAGCCTGAGGAGGTGGGCGCTGTCCTTTGTCAGCTCACAATGTGTGGACGTTCTGTTCATGTTGATTAATTAAGAATTACCAGGGCCTTCTCTGCCCTGGACCCCAGACCGGGCTCTCAGACAAAGAGGGGCATTAGACCTGGCACTTCTCATCAGGAGGTTCCGACCAGTATAGGAGAGAAAGACAGGCAGGCTCACCATGACCATAATCTCCAAACTCCAAAAAGCCCAGGGGAAGCCCTGCATAGCTTAATTTAGTACCTCTAATCTCATGTCATCCTAAGAGATGGGTATATCATTCCCCCATTTTGCAGATAGGAAAATTGAGATGCACAAGTATATCACTGGCCCAAGGTCACATAGCTAGTAGGTAGCACAGGTAGGATTCAAACTAAAGTCTGTCTGGGGTACCTGGCTGGCTTAGAAGGGTGTGTGACTCTTGATCTCGCGGTCATGAGTTTGAGCCCTATGTTGGGTGTAGAGATTACTTAAATAAATAAAACTTAAAAAAAAAAGGTTTAAAACAAAAAAAACTAAAGTCTGTCAATCTCTATTTCCAGAGGAGACATTTGACTAGGGTTTTTGAAGGATGAGTAGAAGATCACCAGGAAGGTTGATGGGAAATGAATATTATAAAGTGAACTGGATTTTTCCCAAGCTTGAGCTTTACTGTATTCCAGGTTTCCTTAAAGTGAGGGCTGTGTGGGGTGGTGAGTATCAGAGATGGTTCAGGTGGAGATCAGGGCCCAGAGAGGGACAGGGGCCTACTGGATGGTCAGTGAGTGTGGTTACTGACAGGTTGTGTGTTGCCTCCCCAGCCTCTCTGGATGTAGGAAGCATAATCGGGCAGCCATGGAGTGGGACAATGGTACACGCCAGGCCCTGGGCTCCCCGCCCACTACCTGCGTCTACCGAGAGAACTTCAAGAGACTGCTCCTGCCACCTGTGTACTCAGTGGTGCTGGTGGCTGGCCTGCCACTGAATGCCTGCGTCATTGCCCAGATTTGCACGTCCCGCCGGGCCCTGACCCGCACAGCTGTATACACCCTGAACCTGGCCCTGGCTGACCTGCTCTATGCCTGCTCCCTGCCCCTGCTCATCTACAACTATGCCCAAGGCGACCACTGGCCCTTTGGCGACCTCGCCTGCCGCCTGGTCCGCTTCCTCTTTTACGCCAACCTACACGGCAGCATCCTCTTCCTCACCTGCATCAGTTTCCAGCGCTACCTGGGCATCTGCTACCCTCTGGCCCCCTGGCACAAGCGTGGGGGCCGCCGCACCGCCTGGCTGGTGTGCGGGGCCGTGTGGCTGGCCGTGACGACCCAGTGCCTGCCCACAGCCCTCTTTGCTGCCACAGGCATCCAGCGTAACCGCACCGTCTGCTACGATCTGAGCCCACCCGCCCTGGCCACCCGCTATCTGCCCTATGGCATGGCCCTCACCGTCATCGGCTTTCTGCTGCCCTTTATCGCCCTGCTGGCCTGCTACTGCCGCCTGGCCCGTCGTCTCTGTCGCCAGGATGGCCCCGTAGGGCCGGTGGCCCGGGAACGGCGTGGCAAGGCGGCCCGCATGGCTCTGGTGGTGGCAGCCGCCTTTGCCATCAGCTTCCTGCCCTTCCATGTCACCAAGACAGCCTACCTGGCAGTGCGCTCCACAGCCGGTGTCCCCTGCCCTGTGCTGGAGGCCTTTGCGGCTGCCTACAAGGGCACGCGGCCCTTTGCCAGTGCCAACAGCGTGCTGGATCCCATTCTCTTCTACTTCACTCAGAAGAAGTTCCGCCGGCGGCCCCAGGAGCTGCTACAGAAGCTCACGGCCAAGTGGCAGCGACAGGGTCACTGAGTCCACTGGGGCAGGACACCTGGGGCCAGGTCACGGGAAACCCCTCCAACCCCAAACCATGCAGAGAATTAGAGCTTAGCTCAGCTGGGCATGGAATGAGGTCCCCCACAGACTCCAGAATCTCACCAATGACTATTTATTGAGCCCTTGCTCTGGACCCGGCCCTGTGGACACAGAGAGACAGGCTTGGACCTGGCCCTCCAGAAGGTGCCAGTCAGCCCTGGAGTCAGGGAAGCCATGTGAAGCTGCTCACAAAAATATAGTATGGCGTGTACTGTAACTGAGGAGTATGCTGTATGCTTTGGAGTCACCAATCCAGGGACTGGGGGAAGATGGGAGGAAGAAGTGAGAGCTTCTGGAAAGGAGCATTTGAGCTGGATTTTGAGGGGATGAATACGAGCTCTCTGGAGGTGTGCAATGTTCCATTCATTCAGCAAACCTTTACCTACACCTTATCCTTGGGCCTGGGTTGATTCTGGGGCCCTGGGAGAACTGGTCCTAGCCCTGCCCCATATAGGCTCCCAACTACTGGACATATAGATGCTTGACACAGTGATATCAAGGCTGTGACAGAGAGAAGCATGGTTCAGGGGGTGGGGGGTCGGGAGGGAGGGGTAAATAGAGGATGCCCATGATCCAGTCCGAGGAGTCAGGAAGGATCTCCTGGGATGGAGATGGGCGGCATCTGAACCAGGTGTTGAAGGCTGAGTGGGAGGTCGGCCAATAGAAGTGGGAGCATGTTCCTACAGCCTGGGCCAGCCCTGTGCTAGGCTCTGCCCTGGGGCAGATGGGTAGAGAGAGCTGGGGTGGGGGGCAGGCATATGGCCTCCTGTGTGTGAAAGTTGAGAAAACAAGAGCTGTCCCATGGCCACCCTCCAGACAATGGCAAGAGTGGCTCAGATGTTCCAGGATGTGGGGGCTCAGCAGAGGGAGGAATCAAGGAGTGCTTCTTCGAAGAGGTGGAGCTTGACCTGGGGAGGAATCCAAAAGGCAGAGAGAAGAAGGCTGCTCCTGATGGAAGGCACTGTGTGTGTATAAAACCCAAAGGTAGAGATGTGCTGAATCTGGCGGTAAATCAACAGTGAGTTTCAGTTAAGCCCAGGAGGGGGTGATGTGGGTGGGACCAGAGCACTGAACTCCAGGAAAAGACCCAGACCCTACCTCTTCTCCACCTACCTCTTCAAATGTGCCTCTTTCAGCCTCAGGGTCTCCTGGGAGTCTGAGGACCCCTCCACCAGGACCCCCAAGTGAGGGGAAATAGCCCTTCAGCCCTGCTTCATTCTAGAAGTCAACAGCTTGAAGAGATGCAGGGCCACCAGGAGGCTGCAACATGGAGATGCAGAGGTCCCGTGGCCAGGAGCCTGCCAACCAGTCTCAAGACAGACTGTTCCATGGGTTCTGCTCCCGCCCTCCCAGCTCCATCATTCTGGCCTGTGGGTGCCTGGAAGCTGCTGGAGGCCATCTCATGGAGGCATCTCAAACACAGACTTGAGCCTTCAAAAGCTTTGGAAAGGCATCTTCACTGAAGATCTCTGAGGAGGCAGCGAAGGGGATTCCACCACATAAGGCCTCTTTACCTGTTCTTCCCACCCACCCCTCTTTTCAGCCCCACCTGTACAGCTCCTCATCCTCTCTGCAACTTTTCCTCATATCTCCACCACCCTGCCCACCCCATCCCCTATCACTTCTCCTCCAGTCCCTGTTCCCTCCTCCCAGATCTCAGCTTTCCTCCTATAGAACAATCTAGCCTGCCCTTGGCTGCTGGTGTACCACTCAGACCCTGCACACAAACCAGCCATGACAAAAAAATTTACCTTCTCAGAAGGTAGAGGGGAGAGAGAGCAGAGGAAGGACTGCATAACTTAGTATTTTGCTTTTAGCCTTGTCTCATCTCCAAGGCTGTTGGGCCATGGGGCCCTTCAGAGAAGGACTCCACCGGAGTTAAACTCCATAGTCATGTCAGAGAAGTGCTTGCAGCTGGCTGAGGAAGGGGGCAAACCAGGCCCAACCCACCTTGGGAATCCATCAAAATGCCCTTCTGAAGAGGCTGATAATTTGGACAGAAGGAACTTTGATTCTTTGGGTCACAGTGAAAAGATGTGAGGAAGTGTCAGAAGAGGTCTATTCCCTATACAATGCGATGTCATGCCAAGTAGTACAGATGTTAGCTACCCTGTGTCTTGTTCCGAGTCTGAGACCAGACTGGTCAGCTGCCTGTCACGGGGGAGTAGGGGAATGGGCGAGCAGAAGGCAGAGGGCCTCGCCCACAGTGCTGGCTGAGCCCCGTGGAGAGTCGCAGATGACCATCCTAGCAGACTGCCAAGAACTGTGACCCTTTGGTCACTTTTCCAAGAGTGGAAATTGTGGGCCACAGGTAAATTGCATTCCCAGCTTCCCTTTGTGAGGCAGAATAGCATAAAGGGTAAAGACTCCAGAGCCAGGTCACCTTGGTGTTTATCTTGGCTCTACCACTTAGTAGCTGTCTTACTCTGGGCAAGTTATTTAGCCCCTTTGTACCTTAACTTCCCTAGCTGTAAAATGGGAATAGTAAATCTTGTAAAGTAGTTGTGAGGATTAATATGTGCAAAGAACTTAGAATAATGCCTGGAACATAGTAAGCATGCAACGCATGGTACTGTCATAATGATTTTGCCTTTTGTGCACACAAGTTCCTCCAGAGTCTCTCTCTAGGAATTGGCCTAGGAGGTTTTTAAACAAGGGGCTTTGAGCAGAGGATTTTTCCTTTTCCTTCACATGGGAGGCAGCTGGTCTTTTAAGAAAAAACAAAAACAAAAACAAACTCAGCACACTTTTTTCAGAACAAGGCCCATAATCCATGAGCCCCAGCTGTTCCTATAAGAAGGAAAAGTCATTTATTACATGCCAGTACGAGGGACTTCAAGTGCCATTTGGGAAGCTTGAATTGCCCCTTCCTTTCGTCCCCACCCCCCACTCTCTCTCCTCACTTTAACCCAGAGCACACTCCGTGATGGGGGATCACACTGGGGATGCCTGCTTGCTGGGGTGGAGACAGAGGGGATATAGACCGAGGTGTGGAGGTAGAGCGTGGTGAGGGGTCGGGGGAGCACATGGGTTCACAGGGGTCCAAGGTTATTCTCATGGCTTGGGGAAGACTTCCTGGGGGGTAGAGTGGTGCAGCTGGGGCTTGAAGAGTGGATGTAATTAGACTGAAGATGAGAGGGCCATGTTGTTCCTGGTGCGGGGAACAGCATAGCCCAAGGCATGGAGGCTGTTGGAGGATGGATAGGAGGGTTGTGGCCTAAGACCAGGCTGGAGAGTTGGCAGGGCTAGAGAGGCAAAGGCTTGGTGCCAGCCCAGGAAAGCACCAGGGAGCCACGACAATGACAGCAGTGGCCATTTGCTGGGCTCTGCAGGTTCTAGGCATCATACAGTGTGCTGCATACGCATTTTCTCATTTAATCCTTACAATACCTCCAATTACAGATGGGGAAACAGGCCCAGATGTGGGAATTGATGTGTCAAGGTCACACAGCCTTTCTCTAACCCAGATAGTAGGTGCCCCTCTCCACCTCTCCCATCCTCCCGCCCTTCCCTTTCCTTTCTTCACTTGCCTTCCAAGTGCCCACCTGCCTCAGCCAGTCCCAGTAACCGGGGACCCCCTAGGAAGTTATGACAGAGACAGCTAAGTGCCAACCACAATATCAACTCTCTTTTAATTGGGCACGTGGTCTCCTAGGATGAAAACTTCATTTCCCAGCCTTACTCGCAGCTAAGTATGACCACGTAACTTAATCTTGGGTAATGGGAGATAAGCAAAGTACCCTAAGGCAATTTAATATGGGGAGGGGGTGAATGTCTGTAAAAGAGAGGTAGTGTCTGTCCTTTGCCTCCCCTCCTTTCTTTCTGCTTACAATGGGGACATGTCAGCTGGAGCACCATCTTGGACCGTGAGAAACAGCTTGGGTTTCTGACCATTCCAGTTTGGGACCACCTAAATCTGGACTTTTGCACAAGAGAGAAATAAATGTCTATCTTTTCTTTTTTTTTTAAAGATTTATTTGAGAAAGAGAATGAGATAGAGAGCATGAGATATAGAGAGAGCATGAGAGAGGGGAGGGTCAGAGGGAGAAGCAGACTCCCTGCTGAGCAGGGAGCCTGATGTGGGACTGGGACTCCAGGATCATGACCTGAGCCAAAGGCAGTCGCCCAACCAACTGAGCCACTCAGGCGCCCCAAATGTCTATCTTTTCTAAGCCACAAGTTTTTCGGGCTCTTGTTAGCCATAGCCAAATGAATCCCTTTACTCGGGTTCTATCCTAAGGTGGTAGACCTAGGCGGAAGCCAGGCAGTGTCCTGGACTGGGGTGGGGGCCAGGGTCTAGCCTGGTGACAAGCTAGGAGTCAACAGGGTCTGGAGATACCCAGGAAGGCTTAGAAAAGTTGCAAAACTTGGGGAGTGGTCATGCTGCTTTTGGCTGGAGGCTGAAGGGATGGATGGGTTTCCTGAGGGACAGAGTAAGAAGGAAGGGCCTGGAGAGAACCCTGGGAACTCCATTAAGGGGTTGGGCAGGAGGGGGAGCCAGAGATGTGGCAGGTCAAAGCCTGGGGGTTTCTGAATGATTGTGGCAGGGGAGCTGGGTGAGTGGGGGAGGAAGTGGAGGTGATGGGTGGAGAAGAAAAGAGAGAAGTTTCCCAGGGAGGCCAGGTCCAGGGAAGATGCTTCTATGACAGGAGACCTGTGAGTGTTGGCTGTTGTAGGTTGAGGACAGGGGCAGGGCCAAAGATGGAGGAGCCAGAGAGTTAGGGACCAGGGTTTGTCCTTTTGGAAAAGCCCAGGGGCACTGGATCTGTCCTAGGAATAGATGCAGCTTTCTCCTCCCTCCCTCATTCATTTGTTCGACACACATTCTCTCTGCTCCTCCACGGACCCAGACCCTACCCTCAAAAAGAATCTTGGGGAGGGGTGAGGGTACAGACAAGGAAAGAGTTCAACCACTAAACAACATTTATTGAGCACCTACTGTGTGCCAGGCATCATGCTGAGCAGTGGGTCCCTGTCCTCAGGGAGTTCCTAGTCTGATGGAGGAGAAGGGCAGTAATGAAATAAACATAACCCTGGATCATTACAGCAGGGGAGGAGAGCTTAGAAGAACATAAAGAGGGGTAGGGGGCAGGGCACCTGGGTGGCTCAGTCAGCTGAGCTTCTGACTCTTGGGGTTGAGCATCTGACTCTTGGTTTCGGCTAAAATCGTGATCTCAGGGTCATGGGATCAAGCCCTGCTTCGGGGTCCACGCTCAGTGGGGAGTCTGCTGGAGATTCTCTCCTGCTCTCCCTCTGCCCCTTCCCCTTCTCTAAAATAAATAAATAAATCTTAAAAAAGGGGGGGGCTGGGGGCAAGGAAGGCCTCACTAGGGAGACTATAATCTCATGTAATGGTCAGGGGCTGAGAGATGCTGAGGATCGGGGGGCTGTGACTCAGCTTGAGGGGCAGAGAAGGCTTCTTAGCAGAGGCCCAGTGGTTTCAGAAGGTATTACTAGTTCAGTGCAGAAGGGCTGTTACTGACTTCGTGACTTTGAATAAGCCAGTTTACTTCTCTAAGCCTCTGTTTCCTTACCTGTAAAAAGGTGATAATACTACCAGCCCTCTCTAAGCTACCAGGAGTACTGCGCATGGAAAGGTTAGGGCCGAATTATCATCAAGTACAAAAAAGCATGATAACCCAATAGAAGAGGCAAAAACAGGCATTTCACCTAAAAGGAAACACAGATAATTTAAAACAAACAAACAAACAAAAAACACAGAGGTATTTGATCCTAGCTCGACATGCCTCTTGAATGCTGAGTAGTCACCTGGCCCGTTACCCTGAGCACTCCTGTGCATGTGCACATGGTGTCCTGCACAGTGCTCCGAGCAGCGCCATTCACAAGAGCAAACACCTGGAAACACTCCATTGCCCGTCCACGAGAGAATGGATGAATACACTGTGCTATATTCACACACTGGAATATTACCTGCAGTCAGGATGCCCTTTACCCATGTGTAACAATATGGATAATCCAAGCAGTATAATATTAAGTACAAAGATGTCTCAAAAAACTTATACACAGCAAGATGCCCTTTTGATAAAGACAACTAAAATGAAACTATATACTTTGAAGGAATACACAGATGCAACAAAACTATACAAAAAGGAAAGCAAGGGCATGCTGAACACAGGAGGTAATGGCTATCCTGGGTGGTATAGCAGCAGGAGAATGGGTTAGGGAAACTATGTAATGAGATGTAGGACACTGTCAAAGTCCTAGTTGTTTTGTTTTGCGATGGGAGCCAATTAAACAAGTGGTGAGAATGTGTCATGAACAAAAGTTTATAAATAATCCAATTCTATGCATTTGAGTTCTAATCATACAGGAAAGGCGACAATCTCAGGTCATTTCTAATTGACTTGGGAATGGAGTCAGGAGCCCGATTCCCCCTAAGACAGTTCCTTCCTGGAGCTCATTACTTCTTGGGGTCCTCTCACTCCTCATTTTTTTTTCCCTCTTAAGTACTCAAGGCCCATCACTGGACATGACTAGGACCCTCACAATTTGACTATCTTGATTTCTCCAGGGGATTTACAGCCCTGACCTTGCTGGGTCACCATGACTACTGGGTAGGTGGGTTAATGTTTTCGTTCCCCTTTCATAGGTGAGGAGCCTGAGAGTGACCTACTGAGGGTCATCTGGCATGTCTCTGAGGGTGCCTGCATTGGGCCCAGCTCTAGACTCCCAACACAGTGTTCCTCTCTCCATCTTGGTGCCCAGTGTTTCCAGCCACTTCCTAGATGAGTCTTTGAAGGGCTAAACACAATCAGGGTCCCTCTGTACCTGGAAGATGATTTGTCTCATCATGAGTCAGAAGGAGCTGAGGCTGGGAGGACTCATGGGGTGCTGGAAGCAGCCAAGCCACTCTCTGATTGGGTAAGTGTCCCACTGGGTGGAGGCCCACCCCAGATCCTTAAACACTCTCCTTCCCCACCAAGGGGAATTCCTGATCCAGAGGCCCCAGTCAGCCCACCTCCAGGCCAAGCTACAGGATGCTGAGGTGACCTGAGTCTTTGCTCCTGTCCATCAGTTTGCCCACCTGTGATATGGGAATAAAAACCTCTATTCCAGAACTGATATGAAGACAAAATATGACAGGATGTGAAAGAGTTTGGAAAAGTACAAATTTCAGATGGCAGGGACCATTGTTATTGGAGGAAAGCAGTGACTCCCAGGATGAGGGTCCCCCCACCAAAAGAGTAGAAAAACACTCCAGAACAAACAAGAGTCTGACTTCAATAGAGGTAGAGAGATACCTTTGGGGAAATCTAGACCCACTCCTCACTTTTCAGATGAGGCAGCTGAGGCCCAGGGCAGTGTAAGGATATACCCAAGGTCACACAGCAAGGCAGAGGTAGAGAGAGGCACTAGGCCAGGCAGGGCTCTCTTCCTTGCCATCAATTCCCCAGTGAAGGAGAGATGTCCTTCTGAGGCAGAGGTGAGGGACTTACAGGAGGCTGGTCTCCACTCAGAGAGGAAGTTTTCTCCCTACAGGGATTTGCCACGACCCAAGGGAAGCAGTAGGGAGGGTGCCAGGTCCTGGCTGAGTCCTCCCTTTCTCATGCAGTAGTCAATCAATCCCTCAGTGTCTACCATCCTGCCCTATGCCCATCCCTGCCCCTCTCATCTGGACCACGGCCTCCTGCTCCCAGGGCCTGCCAGCCTAGTGAGGCCCAGCCACAGTCCTCTTGGGCCAAGGGGAGTGTGAGTCAGACCAGGTTATCCTCTGTTCCTGGGGAAGGTGAGCCCAGGCCCAAGAAGGAAGAAGAGGATACTGGGGGCTCAAGGAGAGAGAAGCCCCTTCTTCATCAGGGATCTGGGACCAGTGAAGACTAGAGGAGCACGGTGTTTGAAGCTCCTCAAATCTGAATTTGAGTCATTGAAGGTACTGCCATTTTCTGACTTTGACAGTGGTCAAAATTAAATCTCCTTCATGACCCATAGAAAAGAGGCAATATTGGGGCGCATGGGTGGCTCAGTTGTTAAGCGTCTGCCTTCGGCTCAGGTCATGATCCCAGGGTCCTGGGATCGAGCCCCACATCGGGCTCCCTGCTCCGCGGGAAGCTTGCTTCTCCCTCTCCCACTCCCCCTGCTTGTGTTCCTGCTCTCGCTGTCTCTCTCTCTGTCAAATAAATAAAATCTTTAAAAAAAAGAAAAGAGGCAATATTATCTACCTACAGGGTGGTTCTAGGACTAAATAAAATGAATGAAATAATATTACCCATACATCCAAGGCACTCCATAAATCCCCATTGGTTCATTCAGATGTCAAGGAGCTGCCTTGCATTTAAGTTGGGACCCTGAGGATGTATGGGACCTCACAGAAGCAGGTGTGGGTAGGGAAGGCCCTAGTACCCGGGACAATGGGAGACTTGCCAGACAGGGACAGAGGTGCAAGGCGAGCCCAAGGCTGGATCAGCTTGAAGCCGGAGAGGCGACCCGCTCGCTCTGTTAGGAGGGTGGAGGGCCGCAAGTAGGCGTGTCGGTTTGGCAGTGGCAAATCAAGGGCGTTTCCGTTGAAGCTCGTGTTGTGTGTCAGGCCAAAGGGGCTTTGCGAAGGGACTAGGTTTGAAATGGCTCTTGAAGAGATTAGGAAAGCACTGAAAGGAAGTAAAGGAAATGAAGTCTTCCCAACACTCCCATTTTTTGGTGTTGGGAACTGCTTTACCTGTCCTGGACTCCACGGGGTGGGCGAATCCGGCCGGTAGAGGGCGTAAGAGCCGCGTATCACGGAGCTCAGGAGGAGGGGCGGGGGGACGCAGGGCGGAGCATCGAGGAGAGGGGCCTCCGAGATGGCGGGGGCAGGTGGGGGGGGCGTGACTAGGGTGGGCAGCGGGAAACGTGAGGGCGGGTGGGGGAGTGGCCACAAAGGGTGGAGCACCTGAAGCGATGTGGGAGGGTCAGAGCTGGACAGGCCGCAGATGTACGAGGGGCGGGGCCTTTGGGGGCGCGGAAGGCTGACCGGGTCTCCGTGACAGTAGGATTCACGGCGGAGGGCCGGGTGGGGGGCGTGGCCTGGGCGGGGCGGAGGGGTGGGGCAGGGAGCCGCAAGGGCCCAGGTCGGCCGTGGCGCTCACTGCTCCCCCTGGCGGCGAGTCCCGCCCCCTTCCTGCTGGAAGAGTGTTTCTGGGTGTACCTGAATGTCGGTGTGTACCAGTTTATGGGTCGAAGGTTGCCATGTTGGGGTTCCTTGGGCAGACGGTGTTACCGCGCAGAAGCGTCTGAACCGCAGTCGGTGCGCAGCCCCGGCTGTGTGTCGGCGGAGCTGACCACCCTCAGAGGTTTCGTGCGTCGCAGCGAGTCCTTGGGGGGGCAGCTTGGCCAATGGGTTCCAGAAGGGGTCCTGTGGAGGGTCGCTTCGATCTGCATGTGCTCAAGCAGTCTTGTTTCTCCTTCGACTCCTCCCCGATTCCCTCCCCCCGAAACCCCGATTCCCAGCCTTGCGCGCGCCCGGAGCCCACCCCCTCTTTTGGGCGCGAGGCCCCGCCTCCCACCCCCTTTCCTCAGCCACAAAGTTTATTTGCAACAAAAGGGAGCGCGGAGCGAGCAGCCAAGAGGGAGGGAGCGGGAGCCGGAGCGGGAGCGCGAGGGAAGGCGGGCAGGCCGGCTGGCGGGCACGGAGCCGAGGAACAGAGCCCTGGGATCCTGCCCGGACCGGGCCGGGCCGCGATGCTCCGAATCGCCCCGGCCGAAGAGGGGGCCGGCCCCGGGGGTCGGCGCTGAGGCGGGAGGGACCGCGCTGGATGGAGCCGATGCCGCCCGCGGCCTCAGAAACTTGAGCCGCGGCAGATAAAACCTCTGCTTGAGTCTCTGCGCCCTCTCCCCGCAAATCCCCTCACACTGCTGCTGCAGAACCCAGGCCTTCGGACCCCGGCTGCTGCGCTCCTTCGGGGCGAGGGCGCAAGGGGGGGGTTGGCCGCGGCTCCCCGAGGCCAGCCCCCCCAGAGTGAGTGTTGCCACCATGGCGGACGGGGCGCCCCGGTCCCCGCTCTATCGCAGCGTCTCGTTCAAGCTGCTGGAACGCTGGAGCGGCGGGCCCGGGCCGAAGGAAGAGGCCACGGACACCCCCGGGTTGCGGCGCCGCGCCTCGTGCCGGCCTGCCGCGTCGGTCCCGGGCCAGCCCTCCCGGCGCGTGTCCAAACTGGCGTCGGGGCCTCCGGCCTCCCCCGCGCAGCCGCGCCCGCTCCGCAGCCTCTCGCCGTCGGTGCGCCAGCTCTCCCGGCGCTTCGACGCGCAGCGCCTGGACGACGACCACGCAGGGGCCCGAGACGGGGGCGTCTCCCCCGGGGCCGCGGAAGAAGCGGCGGAGGGCGCGGCGCGCGGCGCCTGGCCCAGCGTCACCGAGATGCGCAAGCTCTTCGGTGGCCCTGGCTCCAGGCGGCCCAGTGCCGACTCTGAGGCCTCGGGGACGCCCAGCCCCGACGGTGCCGTGTGGGAGCCCCCGGCCCGCGAGCCCCGGCAACCGCCGACGCCACCTCCTCGGACGTGCTTCCCCCTGGCGGGCCTGCGTTCCGCGCGGCCGCTACCCGGCCCAGGGACCGAGGGGAGGAGGCGGCGGCAGCAGCAGCAGCAACAGGAGCGGGCGCAGCGTCCGGCGGATGGTTTACATTCTTGGCATAGCTTCTCCCAACCGCAGGCCGGGGCCCGGGCCTCCTGCTCCTGCTCCTCCTCCATCGCCTCCTCCTATCCTGTCAGCCGCGGCCCGGCTGCCAGCTCCAGCGAGGAGGAAGAGGAGGTCCCGCCGCCGCCGCCGCCCGGGGCGCAGAGTCCGGCCTACCACGGAGGCCACTCCTCGGGCAGTGACGAGGACCAGGACGGTGAGGGCGGCCACCGCTGGGGAGGGAGGCCGGGACCCAGGCCTGGAAGCTCCCTCTTGGATAAGGACTGTAGGCCAGACAGTTATGGGTTAAATCTGGGCAGCATGGATTCAGCTGAAGGAGCCAGGAGTCCTGAGCCCCCCAAATCTCCAAGAGCCTCTAGTGAGGAAGGACCCCGGGAGTGGGGTACTGGCTCGCCTCACTGTGGACCAGGTCCTCAGGAGGGACTCCGGCCCATGTCTGACACTGTGGGGGGAGCTTTCCGCGTGGCCAAGGTGAGCTTTCCTGCATACCTAGCCAGCCCAGCAGGCTCCCGCGGTAGCAGCCGCTATTCCAGCACGGAGACCCTCAAGGATGAGGACCCATGGGCTAGTCGGGGTTCTGGGGGCTGGGGCATGTACCGCTCCCCTAGCTTTGGAGCTGGAGAGGGGCTCCTCGTAAGGCCCCAGCCTCGAACCCGCACCAAGGGACCTGTGGGCACCACGAGGGCATTGAGAGATGGAGGACTGGAGTTGGACAAAAGCCGGCAGCGGAAGTCCTTGTCGAATCCAGATATTGCCTCAGAGACCCTGACGCTGCTCAGTTTCCTTCGCTCAGACCTTTCAGAGCTCAGGGTCCGAAAGCCCGGTGGGCGCCCCAGTGACCTCGGGAGCGGCCCCAACTTAGATGGCAGAGACTCACCAGCAGCAGGTGGCCCCAGGGCACAACTTGGACCCACGCCTGCCCCAGCCCCAGCGTCACCTGGCACCCGCCCCACACTCAAAGACTTGACGGCCACCCTTCGGAGGGCAAAGTCTTTTACCTGCTCTGAGAAGCCCGTGGCCCGCCGCCTATCCCGCACCAGCGCCCTGAAGCCCAGCTCCTCTGAGCTCCTGCTGGCAGGCCCAAGTGCCGAGGAGGACCCACTGCCCCTGGTTGTCCAGGATCAGTATGTACAAGAGGCCCGTCAGGTTTTTGAGAAGATCCAGCGAATGGGTGCCCAACAGGATGACGGAAGTGATGTCCCCCCTGGAAGCCCTGTCTGGGCAGGAGACATGACCCAAGGGCAGCGGTCCCAGGAGGAGCTCTCTGGCCCCGAGTCTAGCCTGACAGATGAGGGCATTGGGGCAGACCCTGAGCCTCTTGTTTCAGCCTTTTGCAGCCTGGGTACCACGGGGGTGTGGCGACCCCTTTCCTCATCCTCAGCCCAGACCAACCACCACCATGGCCCTGGGGCTGAAGATAGTCTGGGAGGGTGGGCCCTGGTGTCCCCTGATACCCCTCCCACACCAGGTGCCCTCCGACGGAGACGCAAAGTCCCTCCTTCAGGCCCTGGTGGGACTGAACTGAGCAATGGAGAGGCAGGTGAGGCCTACCGGTCTCTGAGTGACCCAATTCCACAGCGCCACCGGGCTGCCACCTCCGAGGAGCCCTCTGGGTTCTCCGTGGATAGCAACCTTTTGGGCTCGCTGAGCCCCAAGACAGGGCTTCCAGCAGCCCCAGCTGTGGACGAGGGCTTGACCAGTGGCCACAGTGACTGGTCTGTGGGCAGTGAAGAGAGCAAGGGTTACCAGGAGGTTATTCAGAGTATTGTTCAGGGGCCTGGTGCTTCGGGGTGTGCGGTGGACGACAGGGTTGCTGGCAAAGCCCCGAAGAAGAAATCTCTGAGTGACCCCAGCCGCCGTGGGGAGCTGGCTGGGCCTGGATTTGAGGGCCCGGGAGGGGAGCCCATCCGAGAAGTCGAGCCCATGCTGCCTCCATCTAGCAGTGAGCCCGTTCTTGCAGAGCGGCGGGCAGAACCAGAAGAACCCAGTCCTGCCAGGGGCCGGGCACAGTCTGAGAGGGCCCTACCCAAGACCCCACCTGCCTCCTCCACTGGCCGCCGCGACTTCCACCTTGACCCTAAACTGGCTGATGTTCTGTCCCCACGGCTCATCCGACGGGGTTCCAAGAAGCGCCCAGCCCGGAGCAGTCACCAGGAACTACAGAGAGAGGAAGGCAGTGAGGACCAGACCAGCAACCTGTCGCGGGCCCGACCATCCTCCAAACACGTTCGCCATGCGAGTGTGCCCGCCACCTTCACACCTATCGTGGTGCCTGAGCCACCGACTACTGTTGGCCCCCCTGTGGCTGTGCCTGAGCCCGTGGGCTTCCCGGCCAGGGCCCACTCCACGCTGCAGGCACCGTCACTCGAGGATGTCACCAAGCAGTATATGCTGACCCTCCGCGCTGGCGAGGTTCCTGCCCCGGCACCAGTGGATATGCCCTGCTTGACTCCTGTTGCACCGCCTTCGGCTGAGGCCAAGCCCCCTGAGGCAGCCCGGGCTCCAGATGAGCCTGCCCCAGCCGGCAAGTGCTGCAGCAAGCCACAGGTGGTGAGTCCTTGGGCGGG